AGAGCATGTTCACATTCTTCAAAATTATACCATTATTTAATTAATCAATAATGCTGGTTTTGTACTAATGTTATTATGATCATTATAGTCCAAACAAAGGATCAAATCTATTCATTTTTAGTTGCCCTTATTATTTCATAGATCCCACTTAATATTTATATTGACAGAACCAGTAAAGACTTTTTCCATAAATTAAAATAATTATGTATAGGGTTATAAATAAAATGGGACATGGTGACATTTACAGCATGAAAATTTGATGCCTACCCTATTGAAAGCAATATTTTTATATAATTTATATTGAATGTGGTCATCACTTGGTTGGCAAGTTTGGATCATTATATGGCTTGTGGTGATTAATGTAAATTATCACATATGATATGATGTGAAACTATCCACATGCCTTTTGTACACAAAATAATTAAAGAGATAACAATCATGGCATGGACTATCCCACCACATTCTCTCTCTCTAATTATACTATACATCTTGTCTTTTTTGAAGGAGTTGGGATCTAAATCTCATAATTTTTGTGGACAGATATCGTTTTCACATTTTGAGTTGTATGACTTAAATTTTATCATTTTTGCATTCCCACTTTCAAATTCATTATTGCTCTCGCTCTCATTTTATGTAATTTAAGTTCGGATCCTCTTTAATATTTCATAAATTGCACGTGTGTATGTTATAAACTGTCCGATGCAATATAACATGGATGTTGTACGTATTACATTAAATGATTCACAACACACATATATGACTGTACACAAATATATGTATTGTGAGCTGTTTGATATAGTACAACATCTGTGCTATACGACAACCGAATCCTAACACTGAGAACTTAATTTGAGTTGGTGTCAATTTCATTTAACAAGCTGATTAAGTTAAAATGTCATTTTCATTCATTTATCGGATTTAGGGTAGTAGATAGGGGGAATTGGATAACAGGTGGATGGATGAGTTTATGGCATTACTTATACTATTTCAATATCAAGATATGGAATTTCTCAATATCATGACATATTAACTAGTACTTGGTACATTTACTAATTAGTATAAATTAAAATAATTTCATGCTTGTGATAGAACACCAACAACAATTAGAAAAAAGAAAGAAAAAACACATTGCTAATTAATGTGGACAGCTACTAGTAACAACTTTTTTGGTTCTGTGTGCCAACGAGATGTAACTAGGAACTAAGATGTAGTCCACCTAGCCTACACAATGAAAGTTGGCCTAATCATTTTGCTTGAAATTAAGGAAGTTTTTCTTAAATTTTATTTCTTTTTGTTTTTCAGTTCTATATTGTATAGTATGGTTTGTTATAACTTATAATCACTAACCGGGGGGAAGATACAGAATAAGTATTAATAAGTTTCTGAATTGATAGAATATATGTCGCCTGATAAGATGTGCAATAATATGCCATAAATATTTAATTGTAATATTTATGAAGGTTACATGATACATATAAGGTTACAAATTACAAATTACGAGTGTAAGTTACAAATTACAACTTCGAATTACAAAAACAGTCATCATGCGGAATTGAGACTGTTTATCTAAGAATCAAGAAAGACAGATGTCTCGATAGCCCAGTAATTAGTGTCTCTAGTGAATTTTGGGAGTGCCAGGCTTCGACTCTTTGTACCTACTAATCTAACTTCTAACCCTTCTTGCCTTGTAAAAAAAAATCATGAAAGCAGTCCTTATGCGAAAATGAGACTGTTTATCTATCTAACTTTCTTCGGACTTTGTAATAATTGGAATCTCATGTAGCCTGTAAAAGGAACATAAATTTTTATGTAAAAGATAAAAAAAAATACATCTTTCCAAAAATATTATAATTTATACATACATAATTGAATGAACAATTTTTTATTTCACAAGAAACCATTCTAAGACATCATCAGAGGTTATAAGTTAGTGATATTCTCAATCTCCAAAAATAAAAGGAGAGAGTTAAAATTTTCCGAATGCATGAGTTTTTTATAACCAAATGAATAAATATATATAATATCTGTGTGACAAATTAATCCTATCAATAAGATATATATACTTTCTCTCCTCTTATAACATTATGTTTGACACTTTTTTTATATCATTTTTCTACTAGCAATGATACTCAAAACCATAATTATGATCTAAAACATTAATCGGTTTATTTATTTATTTATTTTTATATCTCAGATATGTTTTAAGTGACAAACATCAGTCCACTTAAAATATATGATAGATAAGAATTCAGCTAGTATTTGAAGTCAAACGCATTAATTTAGATATTATTTTCCAATTTTCTATTCTTAAACCAAAAATTGCAATATTGGTGACCTTTATTACCAATATTTTATATTTGAACAAATAATGAGACGACACGTTTGTAACCATCCAATGTTGTTTTGTTTTGGTTAAAGAACCGTCCAATGTTGTTGCTCCACTGGAACTCACGTAACGTTGTCAACCTGCTGACATGGCAAGATCTGAGCTGGGTAACCTAAATTACTTGGGGAAACAGAGTATGATACTACTTCAGGTATTAGACTAATGTATGTGTACATACACACATGTAGCATCTCGAGGTTTAAAATTGTTGATCCATGTTTTGAACACCATCATCAACGGCTTCAATTTTGAGTTGACTTTGACCCTACCATCGAGTGGCTGGTGATCGCACGTGCTCAAGTTCACTTTCAGTAGCTCGAGCCTCGAGGGTCCTATCCGTTAATTTTGAAAGCATCTCTTTGTCTCTCTCTAAAAGTTAGGTAACCGTTTGATATCATTCTTTGACACAGTCATTAATTATTTAAATAGGATTTTTTTTGGTGCAAAGTAATTAAATATACTAGTACTAATTCACAACCATGTGATACCATGAAAATTAATGGCATGTGAAATGACGCTTTTGGCCCAAACTTAAATTTGACACATTTAATCGCGGATTAGCCGAGAACATGCATGACATTCTTTTCGATGTTACAATGGAGTAATCTTACTATTATAAAAATTCAAGCTCAAATTTGAATCTTCAATTAAATTCAAGCTCATTGTTGATATTGAACTTAAAATCGATTTTGAAATCAAAATTGAGAAAAGAGAAACAAACAATTATCAAACAAGTCAATTGATCCTATATATAAGTTTATTTGAACTCGATTCATTTTAATTGATGAACTTAAAAATAATAAAACTTGTATCTCACAAAAGTCTGAACTATGTTCTTTTTCTTATAACATATGGATTCAAAATGTGAAACATCTTTCAATTTTTATTTTTTAGATTTTCACTATTTTTTTAAAATTTAATTATTCCTTTTTCTTCTCTCCTTTTTATTTTTATTTTTTGACGATATTGGCCATTTTAACCTCATTCTGTCATTTATAGTGGGATAGACAGCTAGTTTTTGAGACCAACGAGAAGAGTGAGTGAACTTAGAAAACCAATAAAAACAGAATAACAGATAAGAAAGGATAAAAAGGAAATATCGGATACCAATAATTATGATGGAAAATAAAAGAATGGTATAATTCGTTTATTACTGTAAAGTAGAATATTAGTGGCCCATTATATTATATCTTTTAAAGCTAGAGATTATGTTAGTGGGTCCATCATATGTGTGTGTATATATATATTCCTATATATTAGAGGCATGACTCATAAAAGTGGTTTTTTGTGTCAAAGCAGAGCATCATCATATTGTCCACCATTGACTCCATTGAGGTTCATTGTAACATAGGATTGAGATGTAATTTGCCTTTTGTTCTTCTCAATTTTATGCTAAATTTCAATATTTTGGAAATTTTATTAAATATTCTTCATCTTTCCAACTGTTTTCTTTCGCATAAAAGAGTATACTAAATTTACTGTTGATGATGATTAAGCCATCTTTGTTACCATTTCACATTTAAACCTGAAGTGTCTGTGTTTTCTTTTCTTTCCCACCCACTCAATCAAAACCATGCGTGACACTTTTACAAATTAGTCCAAGGAAGAAAAAAAGTGATAGTGTGGGGACAATACTGTTAATAGCATTACATAGTACTGATAAAAATGCTGTGCAACTGACCGTTAGTCACTTAGCCTTATGCTTTTACGAGGAAAGTTTTGTCACACGTCAAATTTTGATAAAAAAAAAATGAAATGGCTATATATAAATTGAGTGTTAGTTCTGTTTAAAAACTTTTATGATTCAAATTGCAAAACGCCCAATCCATTATAGATAGAATCAGAGCTAAACTAATCAATAGGGAGAGTGGCCCGACAGTAACGAAGGCATCCCAAATTTGGAAAAGATAGATATATATGAATGGTGTGTTAGTCCATTACTTAAATTTTAAAATTAGACTTAGGTGTTATTTCTGAATTCTTGAAAACGAAACCAAACATCACATAACTCAAACTATCCATGTCCTCAAAAAATAAAATAAAATAATATATTTAAATTTTAAGATACTTTTAATCGTATTTTATACTTTTATGTGTTCAGACTATGTCATTTACTAGAATGGACAGGGGCTACAAATAAATTGAGTTGTTCATGAACAACTCGAACTCGACTCATCTAAGGGTATAAGTTCATATATGTTTGTGAACAAAAAATTCATGAATGAATTAAAAAGATCTTGAACTCAAACTCAAACTCAAACTGAACTTGAACAACTTTTATTATCAAATAAACCGAGCACGAATTTCTCAAAATAATGAATTGAATTTGAAGTTAGAATTTTAAATTAAATACACAACGAGTGAGCCGAACCTGAACATCACATACTCAACTTGATTTGATTCATTTGCACCCTTAAGATTGGGGTACACCGTAACAAATACAATGAGGCCAGGGCCAGCGATGCCCATCAATGCGAAACCCCCAAGTGGGGCCCACGGGTAAATAGATTGCTGGCAATCATGTGGCCCTTTCAGCAGATCGTTTTGCACAAATACATATATATATATCGGTCGGGTGGAAGACAACATTAGTCAATTAAAAGAGAGCGCGTGTGCACTGTATTACAACGGAGTATGTGAAATTGTGAACTGGCCATTGGCTGGCACCATCCCCTCCCTTCCTCAATCCCCTCTCTCTCTAGAACTCTCTCTCTCTAGATTTTTCTCTCTCGTCTCATGCACGCTCTCAGTTTGAAAATGATGACTAAAAACCGACAAAAGCCAATGTGAACAAGCCGTTGTGCTTTCTCGCCCTTTACTGAGCCCAAGATACAGTCTTTTTCTCTGTGTGTAACAACACCCTCTCTGTACACCACTCTCTTTCTCTCTCCACCCCTTCTCTATCTGATAATGTAAACCCAGAAAGCCTACGGAAACTCGGTTGTCTTCTTCGATTCACACCCCCAAAGTTCAATTCATGGCTTTCCACAGCTCAATCTCAGTGTTCTTGATCTACATTTCATTGTTCATCACCTTGTGTTTCGCTGCAGATCCATTTGTTAGCTACGATTTTGAGGTCTCTTACATCACTGCTTCTCCTCTGGGTGTTCCCCAACAGGTCTCTACCTCAGATCTCTTTCTCTCTCTATAGTATGCAAATCTTTTCATGTGGGTTTGCTCAATTTTTGTGAATAATTGATGGGTTTGTTTTAGTTTTTGAAAATATCATGTACATCTTTTCATTTGGGTTTACTGATTTTTTGTGAATAATTGATGGGTGTGTTTTAGTTTTTCAAAATGTTATGTACATTTCTCATGTGGGTTTACTGAATTTTTGTGAATAATTGATGGGTTTGCTTTAGATTTTGAAAGTGTCATGTACCTCTTTTCAAGTGGGTTTACTCAATTTTTGCGAATAATTGATGGGTTTGGTTTGGTTTTTCAAAATGTTGAGTCTTTAGCTTCAGATCTGTAGAATGTGCTTGAATTTCTATAATATGAGCTGTGTTATGGTTAAAGTTGTGCAATGTAGTGAGCATTGGAGTGATATTGAAGTGTTTCTAGGGTTTAAGGATTTTCTTAGCCTGAATTGGTTTAATTTGCAGGTTATTGCTATTAATAAGGAATTTCCTGGCCCTACCATTAATGTGACCACAAACAACAATGTGGTTGTCAATGTACGGAACAAATTAGACGAGGACCTCCTCATCACTTGGTAGGATTTGCAGCAATTATATATATATATATATATATATATATATATATATTTTTTATGATAATGTGATTGGGAATTTGGGTTTTTTTTTAATTGATTAATTAATTTGTTTATTCACTTTTGTTGGTAAATAAAGATGTGGAATTTGATTGGTGCCACAGGGCTGGTATTCAACAGAGGAGGAGTTCTTGGCAAGATGGGGTGCTTGGCACCAACTGTCCAATTCCTTCAAAGTGGAACTGGACTTACCAGTTTCAAGTTAAGGATCAAATTGGGAGTTTCTTTTACTTTCCGTCCCTCAATTTTCAGAGAGCGTCGGGCGGTTTTGGTGGAATTATTATCAATAATAGGGCTATTATTCCAATTCCTTTTGCAACCCCAGATGGGGATATTATAATTCTAATTGGTGATTGGTACACCCGGAACCACACGGTAAGGGTTTTCGATGAATTATGGAAATGTAATCTTCAAGTGCTTATTGAATGGGGTTTAAAATGTAATGATTGTTTGCTTGGTCTTCTTTTGGATTTTAGGCCTTGAGGAGGACCCTTAACGAAGGGAAAGATCTCGGGATGCCGGACGGTGTGCTTATTAATGGGAAAGGCCCTTACCAATACAATAATACACTTGTTCCTGATGGCATTGACTATGAAACATTTGATGTCCATCCAGGTGAGTCGATTCAAACTATATTGTTTGTGAAGATTCTATTAGATATTATATATTTATTTAACAAATAATTTATGTTTCCATGTGGGATTGCTATGCCAACACAAATTCAGAAAAATTATATTGCTTGTAGTGGAAAAATGAAATATTAAGTCTAGTCTCACATAAATTTTCAACTATTTGGATACCTCTGGCAGAGGAGGGTGCTATCTCTGATTCACAGAACAATTGCATTGGGTTTTTTGGCTTCTATCTTTGATTTGTAGAAGAGCTCCTTTGAATATTGATCCAAGCTAAAGCTGAAAGATGAATATATGATACACACACAATATGAATATTCAGATCCAATGTCACACACGTATATGTAAAGAAGGATATGAAAAGAGAAACCAAAAAACAAAAAGAAAGAACCTCCTATCTTTCAAAAATCAATGAAGTTCTTTTATGAAATTAAAGTCAAATGGTTTGGTGACTGACTATCCATCTTTTGTGACTTTAGGGTCACTATAAAGAAATATTTATTTATTTATTTTTTAAACTCTGGTCACTAATATTTATTTGTTTTATTAGTCTTACTATTAAAGAAAAAGAGAGACGTGTTTGTTAGAATCATAGTAGCATTTATACCTATTTGGAATGTGTATAATCTAAAGCTTTATGTTCTTCGTGTGAACAGATGTGACAGATTAGTGAATGTGGCAAAAGTATTAATTGAAATAGCAGATGCCATGTGAATATACATGAATTATGTTTCATCTGTTAATGTTTTTCGGTAAATTTCATCCTTTGACGTGGCTTTGTTTCCCTTGTGGAAGCTGAGAACAAAAAATTTGTTGATTGTCAATTTGTCATTTTACCCTTGCACTCTTCAGTAAGAAGTGAACTTCTTGTTGTGTTTGTAACCTTTTAAATGTCTAGAAGAAATATATATATATATATATATATATATATATATATATATATATAAAATGTAAGAAAGAGAGATTCTTGAGATTGCACCCACACCCTCACATGCAACATCAATAATAATAACGAACCATAACACATCCTCATGGGGGAACTTTTTGGCCGTACACTGAAACACATGCCCCTGTAAGTTAAATATTCTTGGTTTCTTTATTGAACTTAAAGTTGATTATGTTATGATGTTGTGCAGGAAAAACTTATCGTATTCGTGTACACAATGTTGGAGTGTCTACTAGTTTGAACTTCAGAATCCAAGGCCACAACCTGCTTTTAGCAGAAACGGAGGGATCATATACCGTACAACAAAATTATACTAGCTTAGATATTCACGTTGGACAATCTTATTCCTTTTTGTTAACGACGGATCAGAATGCAAGTACGGATTACTATATTGTAGCAAGCGCCAGGTTTGTGAATGAATCAATCTGGCAAAGAGTTACTGGTGTTGCCATCTTGCACTACTCAAATTCGAAAGGGAAGGCATCTGGTCCCCTTCCAGACTCACCAAATGATCAGTTTGATAAAACCTTCTCAATGAACCAGGCAAGATCTATCAGGTTTGTTCAAATTAGTATATTAGTTATCTCTTTTCTTGGCGTATATTTACAACTATACGTGTTTGATTCAGGCATAATAATAACAAATTTCAGTAATGAAATCTTCACTCTGTAAAATACCAATTCCTGAATGTTCACAATTCATTAGTTAATCACAAGAAAATCATGGAAAGTTAGGAAGCTGGTGCTGATGAATAGAATGAAAGAGTAGCGGAAGCAACTTTGGCAAAAGAATTCACATATAAAATGTTAGGGAGGGGGTTGGCGGTTAGCTTTTAAAAAGGGAAGTTCATTCTGGAACAAGTCAGAATAGTTAGCAAATTTAGCATTTAGTTAAGATGTTCTCATATTTCACTAAATTTTTTAAACTGGATAAATTTGGGATTAGGTCTTGTTCATGAATCTTATTTTTTTATTTTTTTTATTTTTTATTTTTTGTGCAATTCAGGATTTCTTTACAATTAGAAATTTCCTTTCTATATTAAAGAAATGGGGTTTTGTTTAATTTATGTGATAGTTTTGTGGTTAAAAATTTTGCAGGTGGAATGTGTCTGCTAGTGGTGCTCGCCCCAATCCACAGGGTTCATTTAGATATGGCTCAATCAACGTGACTGATATTTATGTGTTAAAAAACAAGCCACCAGTGATGATAAACGGGAAACGGCGGGCAACACTTAGTGGGATCTCATATGTCAATCCTGCCACACCGATCAGGCTTGCTGACCAGTACAAAGTAAAGGGAGTGTATAAGCTTGATTTTCCTCAAAGGCCACTTACAGGACCACCTCGGATGGAAACATCAATAATTAATGGTACATATAGGGGATTCATGGAGGTTATACTACAGAATAATGACACCAAGATGCAAAGCTATCACATGAATGGATACGCCTTTTTTGTGGTTGGGTAGGAGTCGGCTGCCTTTTTAAACTTCATCATATATACATGTATGAATGCATGTTTTTCCTGACCAGCAGTTATCACCCGACACTTTGACATTGCAGGATGGATTATGGTGACTGGACAGATAATAGCAGGGGCACATATAACAAGTGGGATGGTATTGCGCGCACCACAACACAGGTATTTTTTTACAAGTTCATGTAGAAGGATTCACTTGTTACATGTTCCTCAGCACTGTCTTTGTTTATATGACATATGCCTCTGTGCTTAAGCAGAAGTTGGATTTGTTAGAAGACCATTTTACTTAAACGATGCATTGTATGTTTTGTTGTTTTTTTTACGCTTCCTATCTCTTTTCTTATATTTTTTTCAAATAACAAGAACAATGATAAAGAAGATAAAGAACCGAAAAAAGAAGAAGATGAAAAGACTAGTTGTTGCAAAGATCTTACTATGACTTGGGTAGCTAAAAGGATTTGGAACCTCAATGCAAAATTGTTTGGGAAGACTTATTTTTCCGGTTTTATCTGATAGCATCTTTGAAACACTGACAAGTCCAATTATAAATCATAACTATGTTATCTGAAAACACTAAAACCATTGTTTCTTGTAACGTTAGTAAATGTTGACGCCTACCTATATGACTTCAAATATAACTACGAACCACCTCTTACACTTGTTGGCTTCACGTTTGGCATGTTTTTATATTATACCATGGAAAAAATTAGGGACCAGCACACTCCTATTTTGTTGTCCTAAAGTCTTGAGTTTTAAGTCATTTTCTCTGTACCTTATAGGTTTACCCCGGGGCATGGACTGCTATCTTGATCTCCCTTGACAACGTCGGAGTTTGGAACCTGAGAACAGAGAACCTTGATTCATGGTATCTTGGTCAAGAAACATATGTAAGGGTTGTGAATCCCGAGGCAACTAACAAAACCGAGTTACCCATGCCAGATAATGCCCTTTTTTGTGGTGCCCTCGGCAAAATGCAAAAGTATGTATCAGACCGCCATTCCATTTCAAATGTTATATGTTTCTTTGAGCAAGTAAACTGATTTTACATTCCCTTTCCATTATCAGGGCACAAGAAATCTCTTTGGCAACTTCAATCATGGGTGATCATTCAAAACTGTTCTTCACTCTGCTGATGATGATATGTGCTGTAATTTCCATTTTCCGCTAAGCATTTTCCATCGGGATGCCTTATTTATATTGCATGCAGGAGGCTTGTCTCGCTTAATGAGGTTTGTGGCTGTTTGTGTTTAGGTGTGTAATTCTAGTCTTGTTGATATGAATCTTCGGTGATTTTGACATGTAATTTTACTTTCCCGATATACTAAATGCTGCCGGGGAACCTTGTTTAATTTATTGGGATTTTTCATTCTTTTAATACTTATAATTTATGTAATGATGATATTCATCAATTTTTAATGCAATTAACCTACATCCTAGTTTCACTTGTCTTAAGTGATGTTATTATGTCTGCTTTTTCTGTTTTTGTTCTTGGTAAATGATATTTTTCTGTTGTTAAATCCTTGAACCTCTAAAAGAAAAGTAATGAAGACATGCATTCAAAGAGGGACATGTTGATGCTAAAATAGGTCTATCTATATTCTATAAAGTCACTTCATAACTTGTATTTATATTATTTTTGTGTTGTCATATGGTTTCCTTATACTTTCAGAATGAACACCTTGTGTCAGACAAAGGTATCTATTGTTAAGGTTTTCTTGAAGCAGGTTCATGCAGATTTCTGGTTTTTATGGCAAAACCATTGTTGTCAAATGCGCAGCAAATTTTGAATTCCAGTTGGGACTAAAATTATGCTCTAACCACTAGGTTGCTGCCGTTTTAGCAATTAATTTTAACATAAAAGAAAGCATTCAAGGAAGATAAACACAAGCATTTTTTTTTTTTTTTTTTTTAATTGGAAAACTAGGGGAAGGGGTAGACTCGAACACGAGCACACCGTGTTTGGGGTGCTGGACAGGCATTTGAAACAGTTTTTCCATGTTTAGAAAATCATTCAAAGTTGAGAAGTTTCGGATTCAGTACTGATCATGCTTGGTGCATTGACTTCCATAGTTCCATGCTTGAGAATATGACCGAGTTTAGTGTATCATAGTGGTACTTCTCATTTTTTAAGGTCAGAGTTCAAGTTCCATCAGAAAGGGAAAAAAAAAAAAAATTTTGATTTTGATCTGCCACAGCCAATCATTCTATGCAATAATCAGTCAACAAATACATATGTATCCAACTATCCATGCAGCCTATTCTGTCCAGCACCTCATATAGGTATAAATAATGATGAGTAATGGCATAAACTTATACAATTTTTTAATTCGGCCATTCAAAGTTGTTATATAACCTTCAATATGTGGTGTACTTGAGAAAACATCACAAAATTAAAAAATAAAATAAAATAAAATAAATAACACTACTAAGCATGTTATCATCTGCAATGCAATCTTTAGCGACAGTTTTGATATGAGACAATTTCAAAGCAATAAAAATTGCCCTCTATTTTGATTAATTATTACTGAATAGTGATGGGAGTCCAATCTTCTTTATGGGTCGTATTACATCTTAGCTCAGTGTGTGTACTGTGTGTGTGCCCGCGCGCGCACCCATTGGGCCAATATATAAAGCAATTGTACTCAGTGTGTACTAGATTAACTGGGCCAAGAGGCCCAAGGCCCATTAGTAATATCTAAAGATCCAAATTTTCATAGGGTTAGGCCCGTTACTCAAGAACCAATACCCAGTTATAGGCAACATAATGGGCACAACAATTACCCATCTCCAACTTTAAATGTTGGGTGTGCTCCATACTCTTCTTATATACTCTATTTACTTTCACTCTGATTTTAACTATTAAGTACTCTCTCTGTCTCAAAAAAAATATATCATATTTGACAAATTTACGATTTTTTAAATAGTACATTTAATTTGAAACGAAAATAATATGATATATACTCATATATATTTTATTAATTTTAATTTGAAAAAAACTTCCTTGCTCCCGACATATGGTGCATCTCATGATTCACTTTTTATTAATGAGGTGCACCATTTACAGGGAACGAGGAAGTTTTTCCCTCAATCTAGATGCCGTGTGGGATAAAAAATTTGAAGTGATTAAACAAGGGCCACTAATCAATAGTTACTTATAGACATCTTCACATGAAATTCACGTGATATGTCAAGTGGGAGTGAGTTATCAGACGTGACAGCCCACGTCAAGTTCATTTTTAAATTTTTTGTTTTTTTCAAGGATAGCCAAGATATCTCGAGTATAATGAGATACATGGGAAAGGAATTCCACGCCACACACACACACACACTCGTGTATATGTCTGTCTTTGAAAGCAACCTATAATGTTATTTTTATTATTATTATTTTTTCTTTCTAGGCAAGTAAGTCAAAAGAAAATGCCCACAATTGTTTCTTTAGAGGACTTGAAGCCTCGATTTACACTTAGAAAGTAAAGAAAAATTCATTTGCAAATTCATTTGCTACTTACTAGTTCGCAGATTCAATTATGGTCGGAATGTAACGAATTCGAACAAAGTCAGAGCAAACTACCCGATACAAATTACGTATCGAACTTAAAAAAAGATCGTGTATCAGACGATATAGTAAATTATGAATCTAAACACCAATTCTATATACTCAAATATAACATAATATCGTTCCTCAACAAACACACACACACAAATTCATGAATAGAGCAATTCTATCCCTTGTATCCTGTATCATCATTTTCATAATATTGTACTTTACTCTTCTATTTTTCTAGGGCTTCTATTGGAAAGAATCCACTGTACCTACCTCAACTCATTTTTTATTTATTTATTTTGATTTTATTTTCACATCAATGTAGGGTTGTACCAAAAGTCAGTCTTGAAACAAATTTATTTGCAATAATTAAAATAAAATAACCACAATAGACAGATAAATAGGCTAATTAGAAAGAAATGTGAAACATATATGCATAATTGAAGTCTTCAAAGGAAACGTACACATAAAATTTAAGGTTTAGAAGAACATTGTAGTACGTAGTGAAATATAAGCACACACTAAAAGAGCTTCATTGGCAGATAATTAAGCTAGCTAGCTAGATAGGAAGAAATTAAAGTTGTTAAAAGACTTTATAGCATCTAGATCTCTCAAAATCTCTTTTTTTGCCCTCAATTAGAAACTGAAAACTCTTACAAGTTTAGAGAATGAGAGAGAGACCTAAAAACTAACAACTTCACTTGTTAGTACGGAGAGACACCCACGTTAGCCGAAGCAAAGTACCCATCTCTCATCAGAACATTTTCTCCTTCCTACAAAAAAGAGAGTATATATATATATATATCAGAGTGCATACATACATATATCAATTGCAAGAGGAGAAGGTGGCAGCAGTACCTGTTGGCTCACGTTAGTGGTCTTCACCCTCTGATCAGGCATGAGACCAAAGTGGATGTGTGGAAAGTGAGCCCACTGTAAGACGTAAAAACAGTCAAATTGAACAAATTAATTAGTGGGGTGAAATAAAATGAAACCCTAATTTAACAAAAATAGGGGTTTCATTTAGTTTGTATATCTATATCTATATCTATATATGTATATAGATATAATGAAATTAGGATCATACGTTCTTTGCAGCAGCACTGAAGGCTTCTCTATGGCTAATATCAGGATTTTCTGCCTTGATGCGTTGAATCTCATCCCTACATGACGATTCATTGGAATATGTCGTCACCATTAATCATATGTTTGCTTCATATTTAATATATTAGCACATATATATTTTTAATGACTTATTTGTGTCTATGTGCGTAGGAGGGGGGAGAGAGAGAGAGAATTTGCATAAGCTTTTGATGAATACTCACTTGATGAATCGGTTGTAGGCGGAGGGGACTCTCTGTCTCTTTTCTGGAGCTGGACATGCATGCACACAGTCACACACACACACACACACATTAAAAAAAAAAAAAAAATCTCTTTCATTTATTTATCTCCCAAGTTGACATTGTAACTTCATCATCATTTCTTTGGTTATATTTCTATTTGATCTATCTACTATATATCCATAATTTTGGGAGTGAAAATGCTCTCTCTCACACACACAGACACACAAAACCCAACACAGAGAGATCAGACTTAAAAGGAAACCTGTTAGGCACTGCTCTTGTAAGCTAGACCAAACCTAAAAGTTTCTCATCTCATTTTCAATATATTGGTTTTGTAGATGGTGTTCAAAAAAATTGTTGGGTTTTAAGTAAAGGATCATTTTAGAAAGGGAACAAATCCAAAATAAGCAAAAGAAAACGAAAAAATATATATAGAGAGAGAATGTGACTTTAGACTTTAAATGAGGCAGTCATCAAATTAAGAGGAGAAAAGGGGAAAAACCTCAAATTAATAGGAGAAAAAGGGGGAAACCAAGAAATTCTGACACTAGAAAGTTGTGCCACAAAGTGGACTCTCGTACTACAACAGAAGATTGTGCAATAATATGCGCAAGAATTTTAGGCTTATATATATATACAATTCGTGTTTTAAAGGGTAATATCAATAGTCACAAGACCAAGAGCTTTAAAACTGTTAAGACTTTGAAAGTGAGCAAAAAAGCATATATAGCCTAATTCTTTTTCACTTTATTGTTATTTTTCCTCCGTTGATTAACAGAGTACAAGTGTAAATCGAGTATGTTTAATAATTCAAAAGTTCTCTTTTGAAGAAAAAAGAGGGGTAATAAGGCTAAATCTATGCATGTCCAAAACTAAATGAAGAATTAAGAGGGGTAACTAAGCTAACCCTACCCCTCTTTTTGAGTATGCATCTATGCATTGTCCAAAACTATATGTGTATATATATATATGCTTTCTCGTCATCTTTTCTTTTTCTTTTCTTTTTTCCGTAAATACTAATATTAAGTAAAAATCAGTGTTAAATGATAAAGTTCAGAACAAGATCTCAACTAAAAATAATCGTCTTGTTGCATTTAATATAACACAAGTAGTAGTATTGTGTCAAGCTACTATATATTTTCACTGAAAATTTTATATTTTGAGTGAAACGTATAGAATTAATACATTACATAATTATTTAGGTTTCAGAGTATATACATATATTATTTTCTACATGCTCATCATTTTACTCTCCAATCATCATATATATTCCTAATGCTTTGTTTGGTTAGCTAGATTCAGGCTGGGAAGTAATAAGAAAATGAGAAAGAAATAGCAAACGGGTCATATCGGCATGCAATTGTAATAATCTCACGTTTGTTAATGGCCGGGGGCCTTGGAAGCTCATCATGATGTCCTCCACGAGCTGGCATGGCGAAGTCATTTGGGTTCGTCTGATTCATCAGAAAGTTTGGGGTGGGGCTTGGCATCTCCTCCTGCAATACAATATACCATCAATCAATAACAACAAACAAATTCATAAGGTAACAAGTGAAATTAGTATATATATTTAGCTTAAACGGTTCATGATATATAAAAACATACCACAAGATTTTGGGAATTAGGAGAGAAGAATTGGTGAACCAAGTGAAGCTGGTTAGCTGAAGGAAGAAGCAATCCTCGCATGTTTACAGGCAAGAGATTGGCGCAGTGACCACATCGAACCGTGACAGTCTTGAACATACTTGTGCTAGGAACACTCACCTACATATATACATACCATCAAATATAGAAGAAATCAACCCAAAATAATAGAAGATAGACATGTAACAAATCTATGTAAAAACTCGCCCGCATAACATGCCATCAAATATAGATATATATGTAACAAATCTATGTAAAACTCACCTATATATATATATATATATATATATATATATATATATATGTCATCAAATATAGACATGTAGAAATCTAACATATAATAATAACAAATCTATGTAAAAATCAGTCCACACCTTCGTCTTGGTGACTTTGGTGTAGACTCTCAAATCACAGGCACAGGTCAAGGTTTCGAGATGGGTAGAGAGAAGAGAAACGGAAAAAAGACATATATATACCATCAAATGCAGAAATTAACCCAAAATAATTGATGATAGACATGTAAGAAATCTATGGAAGAACTCGTCTTTAGATAACCCAAAATAATAAAAGACATGTAAGAAATCTATGTACAAATAAAAAAATCTATGTACAAATCAAAGTATAAGTGGTCACACAATAAGTGCAAAAAAGGGAAGAGATATATATAGGATAGATGTATAGAGACAAGTAAATTAGGGTGTATGATACCGCGAGAACAGTGTCGCAAATGTTGCAATGGACATAGCAGAGCTGCTCGGAGGGAGGGAATTGGTCCAATAACAAGGGAGATGAGGATGAGGATGAGGAGGACATCTTTCTTTGATTCCCTTGTTGTATGTTTTCAAAAAAGTTAGATTTTTTGAGTGATTGATTTGATTGATTGATTGATTGATGGGTTGACAGATCAAACCACACTCAGATAGATGGCTCCTTGGATCTGCTTTTTCTCTTGATTATGAGTTATGAAAGAAAGGAGTTTACATATAGAAAGAAATGAGTTATAGAATGGGAGGTCGGTCTATGTGGTATATAATAGGTATAGTAGAATATGCCAGAGCTGCCTAAACCCTTTTGTCCTTTTTGTTTCTTGCTGGTGTTTTTGGGTCCAATGCATCACATTTATGTAGGTTATATGTATATAAATGAGATTTGAGCATGAAACTAAATATAACAATTGTACTCCTCAAGGTTATTAATTCCAATGCAAGCTTACCCTTTAACTAAAAAAAATGTTATTCCAATGAGAAGATATGTCAAGGTACTATGAGTTCTCTAAGTTCAAATCTTAATTTAAGTGATTTTAATAATTTATGGGTGATTGTGAATATTTGGAATTTATCAAGGTACTCTTAGTTGAACTATTATTGAGCCTCGAATCCTCTCACGTGCCGTTTTCATCTCGTCTGTTACCTTTCCCTTGTTCATGCAATAAGTGCACTATATCGTTATTTTATGTTGTTATATTTCATGATATAATTGTTGCATTATGATATACTTAATGGATGCACATGATCACTTACATGGGAAGAATTCAGATTCTATTTCATTACCTCAACAATGTGAAACATATGGATTGAAAGGACGCAAATGGATTATCGTCTGACTTTCATATAAGTTAAAAGTGTGATAATCAAATTCACTTTTGTTGCATTTTGGACGAATTAGAATCGAACAAAATTTAGTTTAAACTAAATTTCTCTCAATTCTAAAACGAATTTAAGTAGATAATATGAATAAAAATGAGATTTGGGCATGAAATAAAATATTATACTTGTACTCCTCAAGGTTATTCCAATGACAGGATGCATGCTATGTCAAGGTACTAATTTGAGTTCTCTAAGTTCAAATCTTAATTTAAGTGATTTTCTTAATTTTTGGGTAATTGTGGATAATCGGAATTTAGGTTGTAATCAAGAGTTTAAAGAATTCTTAGCTGAACTATTAATTTCTTTCTCACCAGAAAAACTATAATGATCCCATTAAGCGTTGTTTTATTGAGCCCCGAATCCTCTCGTGTGTCTTTTTCATCTCGTGTTTGTTGCCTTTACGTTATTTATGCAACAACTTAACATCACTTGTGCAACATCTGCAATGTATTGCATTACAATGTGTATAGTGTATTGTACTACCAATACAGAATGGGTGCACATGATCCCTTACATGGGAAGAATTCAGATTCAATTTTATTACCTCAACATTGTGATACCTCAACAATGTGAAACATATGGATTAAAAGGACGATCACGGATTATTGAATCAAAGAAAAGTTACTTTAAATCCAATCCACTGATTCAATTCTTGAAACATAACAATATGTGAAATTAAACACGCTTGATAAAGGCAAAGTGGCAAAACAATAAATATTTTGCTGTAAAAAGTCAACAATATATACAATTCTGTGACTCTTCGTACAATACTTTTTTTGTCATGGATAGTAATGAGTACACCATCATATGGAGAAGGATCTCACATAGGCATGGTGTTGCAAGAAAATAACTGTGTGGATGGCATTCCCGATGAGTGTGTGTGTGAGAGAGAGTGTGTGATCTGTAGAGCGAGAGAGAGAGAGAGAGAGAGAGAGAGAGTGGCAGGCGGCAGATGTGGGGGAGAGGAGCGAGAAAGGGACTTTTGCATGGAGTGATATAACTTTCCCTCATTCACCTGTTATTTTCATAGTTAAGAGAGTCTACAGTATTGTTTTCTTCGCTTTTTGGGAGAGTCCATAAGTTCTCTCTTGTGCCCTAAGGACAATAAGCCTCCACCTTCCGCTTCGTTAGGATTCTTACTATCAATAGCATAAGAAAACAAACATATGCACATGTATATATAGTAGTACATATAATATTATAATGTCGAGCTAGTTGATCACAAGCATCAAAAGCTAACTTGTAATGATTTGACTACTCAATCTCTCTCCTCTTACACACATCTATGTATTTAAGTCAGTACCGTCTCTGTATACAGACCTTTCCATTTACCATCTTTGTCCTTTACTAGAGTTCTATTTCTGTTAACTTGGTTTTTTACCACTCTCTTTCTCCCCCAGACATTAATTTCTAGGGTTTTCTTTACAAATTTTGCAAAGCAACCTATATGCAGTAAAAAAAAAAATGGTCTCCATTTGTTTATTATTAACATTTCTATGTTATAACCATCACCTTTTCCACATTTAAGATTAGGCTTCTCATCCTCCTCAAAAAAAAAACGTACTATAAACTGATATAAAAATGGTTATTGTTGTGACCTTCCAAAAAAAAAAAAATGGTTATTGTGACACTTCTATTTCGAAATTAAATGTATAACCGATATGGAAAAAGCTGTAAAATTTTTTTTGACCTTTTATTAGCAATCGCTATTGAGTAGTACTTCAAATATCAAGTGATAGTACAGGATGATTAGTTAATTACCACACAAGAATCAACCCTATTTTTCAAATGAGCAAATTATAATTGCATCCTCTTTCTAATTACCGGGACCTCTCCTGTAATTTTAGAAATTAATACGATCTCTCTTAAAAAGCAAACTTTGTAATAATGTCACCTTCTTCTTCTTCTTCTTTTTAAATTTAAAAAATTTAGTTGCAAAAAAGCAATCAAATTAAGTAACCAAACCTCCTTTTCAAAACCCTATATCTCATAGCATAAGACGTGTAGTCTCTCGTCTAATGTGTACTAGAAAAATTCCTTGGACAATTACGAGGAATATTCAAGTTCATTGCTTCAATAGATGGATTATATATATATACACACATGAATATTTGGAAAAATAATAATATGAAAGTTTTTCTTTTTTTTTTTCTTTTCAGAAGGTAGATCTTGTGGACTCAACTCAAGTTTGTGAATTGCAGCAGCAGTAGGTTGACCATTACAATAAAAGAGCAATCAGCTGTCAAGAACTCATGCATGGCGCAAATTGCTGCTCACTTTCGGGTAGTTTCCATAAGTATGTGGACATGCATGTGCACTAGTTCACATCCACACTTGTTCCTAGCCAAAACAAAACAAAAGTGCCATATGCACACATATTAGTTTTACAAATCATAGTTATTGCCTCATGTTCTTAGTGACTCTTTTAAATTCAAGAAATAATCAATTTCCATGAATATTACAGCAATTAGAATGTTAATTAGTACGCATGAATTAATATGTGATATATATATATATATATATATAGGAATATAATGGAATGGTCATTCTTATTCTCTTGTTTGGTTGTAAATATAAAATAATGTTGGAATGAATTGATAATCACAATTCTAAGTGGTGGTAGTGGAAGGCGCGCGATGGTGGTGGGGGTGGGTGGCGGAAGGTGGTGGTAAAAGGCGGTGTTGGCGATAGAAGGCGGTGGTGGTGACGAAAGGCGGTGGCGGCAGTGGAGGAAGGTGGTGATGGCGATGGAAGGCGGCGATTGTGGTGGAAGATGATGACGGTGGTGGCAGAAAGCGGTGGCAGTGGAGGAAGGTGACGGCGGAGGTAGGGGAAGGTGGTTGCAATGCAAAGTGGTGACGAAAGCCTACGGTGGTGGAAGGTGATGGTTGTGGTGGGGGAAGGTAGTGGTGGCGGTTGTGGCAGTGATGGCCAAGAATTTCATTCTATCCATTTAGAATTTGAATAGATTTTCCTGGTCATTCCCATCCTAAGGGCTAGTTTGGTAGGAAAGTAATGGAAGGAAAAGAAAAGAAAGGAAACGGAGGGTGATGGGATTTTGTGTTTGGGGTGAAATATAAGAAAGAAAAGAAAGGAAACAGAGGGGAACGGAGGGATTCAATTTGGTTGCACAACAATTTTTGTTATCCTCCCAAAATTGGGAGGAAATGAAAGGAAACGGCAACAAAATTTTGTAACTACCAACATTGTCCAAATTGATTAGTTTATTTAAACAAAAAAAAAAGAAAAAAGAAAAAAAACCTATACACACAAGTTAGTAGTTGCACAGAGAGAGAGAGAGGGGGGGGGCAAGCTTGAAGAAGACAGCGGCTGAAGCTTGCGAACGGCGAACCCGAACTGGAACGGTGAACAGCGATGGAAACTGAAAAAGATGGGTTTTGATTTTTTGAACAATCTGAAATGATATGCCGATATGGGTTTTAAACTATTGATTCTTGCAGACAGATAGATAAACTGAAAGATATTGGTTTTGATTTTTTGAACAATCTGGAATGATACGCCGATCTGATTTTTGTAGATTTTGTAGTTTGCAGTTGCAAATAGAGAGAGGGGCCAAGTTCACAGTTGAGAACGAGAATAGAGATGGAGCGATTGGGGAGGCTAAAATGATTTGCCCTAAGAATATTTTTTTATATTACATAATTAAATTTATAAATTTATCTTTTAAAATACAAAGGTATAATAGTAAATTTACTAAAATATTTTTTTTTCCTTTCTTTTCTCAAACATGTTCATTATCCTTTCCTTTCTTTTCCTTCACTAATCAACCAAACACGATAGGGGGTTGAAATTATCATTCTCTTTCCTTTCCTTCCCTTTTCCTCATAACTAATGTTATCCTCTCCTTTCAAACCCATCGTACCAAACATTGCCTAAATGTCATACAAAATAAAGAAATGGTTAGAATGGAATACTCTTATTTCATTCCATTCTTGCATACCAAATCAGGCCTAATTGATACATGTTAAGTCTTGTTCCTATTCATGTCATTGACTATGTTCGTGACTGTGAACCTTAGTATATATATATCAAATCAAAATTAGTACTAGTATAATGACGTGTATGATGCACGAGATAATTGAAAGAGTAGTGATGGAGTTTCGATGGTTGTGGTTATGGCTAAGAGTTCCATTCCATCCATTTAGAAGTTGAATGGATTTTCATTTTAAAGAAATGATCATTTTCATTCTAAATGTCGTACCAAATAAGGAAATGGTTGGAATGAAATGCTTATTCCATTCCATTCTTGCGACTAAAATAGGCCTAATTGATACGCGTTAGTCATGTCCCTATTCATGTCGTCTACATCGACGACTGTGAACCTCAGTATATATCAAATCAAAATTAGTACAGCATAATGGAAGTGTATGATGCATGAGACATAT